CTCTCAAGAGTCTTCTCCAGCACCATAGTTCAAAAGAATCTATTCTTCGGCGCTCGGCCTTCCTTATAGTCCAACTCTCGCAGCCATACATGACTACTGGGAATACCATTGCTTTGACCATGCGGACTTTTGTTGGCAGGGTGATGTCTCTACTTTTTATCACGCTGTTTAGGTTCGCCTCCCAAGGAGCAGGCGTCTTTTAATTTCATGGCTGCTGTCACAGTCTGCGATGATCTGGGCTCCCAGGAACGTGAAGTCTGTAGCCTATGCAGCTCAGGTAATCTCCTATTCTGCTTGGTGGAAGTTCCCCCAACCCTACAACTGAAACTTTATTTACTAGAAGACAAAGGTAGCTTTGACTCTCAAAAGTTTATACCCTCAAAATCTTATGGGTCTCTAAGGTGCTACCAGAATTAAATACAATTTTTACTAGAGATGCCAAGGATTTAACATGGGATCTTATGCATATGCTGCCAGTAAGCTTATGACCCTTCCCACACAGCAAATCCAGGGAAACTGCACAAGCAAAACCCCTCTGCTACAACAGTGGGATTCACATGGTGGATGCTGTGTTGCACTTACAACTATTTAGTGAAAAATGCATCAGGGGGAAGTTGATTTTACTGTCCTGTATAGCTGTTGTCTCAACCCCGAAAAGGAACAGAACAAAGTTTGAGTCCAGTGGCACCTTTAAACAACAAAGTGTGCATGCACACGGAAGCTTATACCCAGAATTAAACTTTGTTGGTCTTAAAGGTGCCGCTAGACTGAAACTTTGTTCTGTTGCTTCACACCAACAGGGCTACCCACCTGACTGTATCCCCCAGAAGGAAGCAAGGGATAAATTGAAAACACAACAGTACAAAAGCGTCTCTTGATAAAAAGTTCTGAGATTTCTGCTTTGGAGCTATTCATCGAAGCCACATAACGGTACCGAAGAGCCAATATTATAACAAGAGCCAGAGAAAACCAGATCTGGGCACATATATCTGCCAGGATAAATTTTAATCGGATTGTGTTGCTTTCCCCACCCCTTTGTTTTTATCCCATCTTTCTTCCGAGGGCCACTTACAATGATCTGCACCTCTATTAAATTTTCACAACACCACCGACTTGTGGCACTTTAAAGACTAATTTGTTGTGGCATCAATGTTTGTCTTGAGTGGTGGGGCCAAGCTTTGCATGCCAAGGGTGCTGTCTCCAGCTTTTTTAAAAAAAGAATCAGGTAGTAGGTGATGGGAAAGACCTCCATCCAAGTCCCTGAAGAACTGCTGCCAGTCAGAGTAGACAAGAATGACCTTGATAGGCCAATAGTCAGACTCAGCTTCGGGCAGCTTTATGTGTTCACAGAGGCATCTTCATGAAATGTTATACTTGGTGGGACGATACACACACGCATGCACTCAGCTACAAAGCAGAAGAACGCACAGAGGTGGGAAAGGGAGGTTATTGCAAAGGGAAGCCTGAAGGCCAAGCATCCCAAAACTCATGGTGTTGTCCCAGTGTGACATCACATTGCAAAGCACAGATGAAAATGAGATCCTCAGAAGAGTAAATCATCCAATCAGAGCGGATGTGAACCACTCCCAGCTGGAGATAAACTACCAGTAAAAGTAGGACAAATCAGAACAGTGTAAGGAGGAACAAGTACTTGAACCAACCACCCCCAGGCCTACTGAATCCCAGTGTGATAATATCAAATGTTTAAACTAAACATCTTCTTGCTGGAGTCTCCGTTTGAAACTCTTCTGATAGGAGAGGTTACAGGTAGATACTTTAGCCCAAAAACAAAAGTCCTGTAAGCAAAACCTTTTATTAGGACCAACAAAAGTCTGATGAATGACTACAACCTTGAATATACCGGGAATTGAAATACTCTCCTAATGGTGTCTTGAGTTAGGCAAGCTTAAATTCAAATTTAAGAGTGTACAGGGAGATAGAATAAAAGAGATACAAGAAGAAAAAACTGGTTCGTTGTGTTTGGTAAATCAAACTGATAGCTTTGGCGACCGACCAGTGCACCACACAATTAGCTCTGTGTCCTCAGCATGGTTTGAGATTTATGTTTCTTGAACAGTATACCCCTTACACCTGTGCACACAGAGCAAATCACACTGGAAACCTGGGGAAACTTCAGAATTTATGTGTGATATGGTACTGTTCAAAGGAGAAAAGAAAAATCAAAGGCCAACTAGTTCTCAGGATTGCAATCTTTGTGTCTGGCCAACCAGGAAAAAAATAAGGACGCGTTTTGGGGTGTGTGTGTGTGAGAGAGAGACTTGATCCTTGGCGTCTCATGTTAAAGAGGTCTAAGTATCAAGTGTGGGAATCAGAAATTAAGAACTGTATGGCAACAAGTATTTCAAATGCATATGCAGAGGCTTTGACCAGTCTTTCAGAATCTCTAATTAAAACTCCCTGGGTA